CCTGAACGGGGAAGGAAGAGGGGGGGGCAGGGGTTGGTCCGCCTCGGAGGCCGCGCGACCCAAACTCACCCTGGTCTCTCGTCAGGGCGGCGCTGGCCTCCTCGTCCGCCGGCCGCACGCTCTTCAGGTACTCCTGCAGCATCCTGGGCGGACCAAGGCGGAGGTCAGCGCGTGGCAAGGGGGCTGGGGGTGCGGGCAGGACCGAGCAAGAGGCTGGCCCTGCAGTCCGTGGGGGCACCCTGGCCAGGATCACACCGTCCCGAGTGCCCCCCACCCCATAACCAGCTGCTTCCGAGGGAGAGCAGGAGAGGGTTAGTCTGACCCCAGCATTGGCCCGGGAGCAGAAGCCACTGATCCCTCCCTACGAAGAACGGGGAGCAACCTGGAGGGGGGGGTCGGGGGTGTTGCTCTCGCCTCCGGCTTCTGGCTTTGGCCCCGTGGCTTCTGCTTAGCCGCCGTACGGGGAAGGGGGAGGAGGAGGAGGAGGAGGCGAGAGTTACAACGAAAAGCGAATAAGAGGGGGCGCGGAAAAGGTCCGATCCCTAAGTCAGGGCCACACCTGGCTGCCCCTCCCCCGAGATTTCCCCGACGGCCCCAGAGGAGGTTGGGCGGGGGAGGGCTCTCACCGGAGGGACTCCGACGGCCCGAGGTTGGGCGGGGGAGGGCTCTCACCGGAGGGACTCCTTCCCCGGGTGCAGAGGGTTCAGGCTGAAGGCGGGCCGGTCCCCGGCGTCCTGCGGGCGTTCAGGCCTCGGATCGGAGGAGAGCGCCGGTAAGGGGGCCGCGTCGAGGGAGGGCAGCTCCTCGCCCCGGTTTGCCTCCGGAGCCTTCATTTTTTCTGTAAAGAACCTCTATGCGCCTAGCCAGATGAATGGCTATGAAAAAGCCTGACATTCTGCACTGTTTTAGAGAAATACGTGGGCTATGTTGTAGTTTCTTTACAGACAACTTTCTCTATTTTTTTTTAAATCTGTAGATTTCTTCCACAGCACCATCCTTGAAGAAGAGGGAAACAACTCTCAGCTTTGAATCGGAGGAAAATAATGGTAGGGGATGGGAATGCCAAGGTTTTGCACCAGTGGAACAAACAGCGAAGCACGCCTAAAACTGAGATGGAAACAAATGGAAATACATATATAAAAGAATGTGCAAACCAAATGCTGTCTCCTTCATTGTTGGCAGGGAACCTGAAAAATCAAACAAGAGCACTTTATGTGGTGATTTTTTAAAATATGTGGTCCCATTCGTTTTTATTTTTATTATAAAACTTGCCTCAATCTATTACAAAATGGAGGAATTCACGGCAGGTATAGGAAACTGACTTTCACACCGAGTCTGGCCTTCAGTCTCTCTGTCTTACAACAGTTTATTCTCAACTGACTTCACCTCTCCTCAAGGACTCATGCATGTG